TCTTCCATCACTGACGTTAAACCGGTTGCCGCACACTGTCCGGTGATCAATTTGGCCCGTCGTGACATTGCTGGCGACCAGGCCACCACAATGCGGGCATGCGTACTCATGCTGTTTCTTTGCTTGGACTTCACGGTACAACTTCTCGTCGCTGGCCGGCGTCTCCGTCTTGCGTTTCTTTTGTGTCCTTTCTGTTGTTTCTCCTTGTCTCGCCGTAATCTCGGCCCATGTCTCCGCCACCAGCCTCCGGCGACGCTCGAGCTCGGACCCGCTGGCCGTAGCATCGGCGGGGAGCGCCGGCAATCGATCGTGGACACGGTTCTGTGCGGCGCGGGCGCGGAGGCGCGCGAGTCTATGATTGGCGCGGCCGGCATAGCGACAGGCCACTTGCAAAGCTTTGCAACCGTTACACATTTGCCGGCCATCCTGCCCCGCAGTTCGTTTGGCCAGCCACGTGCTAAACTGGGAGGGTTCTTTACGTACGTAACAAGTGTGGCACTGCCACCAACCGCGTTGCTTGCGTGCACATGCGCGACAAACTCTTCGGTCCATATGGCGCGCTTTCCAGGCTGCCGCGCCAAAGGCAGTTTCCGCTTGCCGCACGCCGCAGTTGGCGCATTCTTTGCGCACCTCGCATGTCAGGCACACGCGATAATACGTACACAGTGGTCGATGGTACTTCTTCGGGAAATTTGCCTCTGCGTGCCAGACTTTACAATTATTACACTGCCATGGGGTGCCAGACGTGGCTTTGTCTTGGACGCATGCTCGACAGACACGTTCGTCATCGTTGCGTTTCCATTGGCCTCTGGTATAGGCGTCTTTTTGTTTGCGTTCTCGGCAGATGCAGCATCCGCGCTCTTCGCAGTACGCGTCCAGCAGCGCGCGCCAATTCACACTTTCCCCACGGAGTACTCGCAGGAGCAGCTCACGACCGATACCGACCCCGCGCTGGAAGAGCTTCGCGTGAAATGGCCGAAACAGCAGAAGTTTGTCTCGGCCTGGCACCCGTGTGAAGGCAACATATGCTGTGAAAGGGTTTCCGCTCAGGCCAATGTTTAGGTCCGTTGTGATCGTGGCTGTGGTTGCGTTTGTGCTTGAGTTCGTAGTTCGTTTGTTTGTGCTTCTGTATCGTGGCTCTCCTTCGTTGGTTCTGTACTCTGTTTTGTTTTTGTGGCTGCATGTTGTGCGTTTTGGCTGGCGGTTGAACACGACGCGCACGAGGAGGAGGACGAAGCGGAGGAGAAGGAGAAGAAAGGCAGCTCGCATAAAATCTAACAACCCTCACCTGACAGGTACGCCAAAAGACTCCTCCACCCGAACAAGTCTACGATTCGTCGCCGGTACCAACCCCAAGGAACTCAGTTGAGTCTAGTTCACCTTCGTGACCTTACGTGGGTTTCATGTCATCTGGAAATGGAGTAAATAAGACAGTGCTTGTGCAGCACGTCCCACTTATTCAGCGGGCGTCTTATTTACTCCATTTCCAGATGACATGAAACCACGACCCTTCTCCCCCTCGCTGGGGTCGGCGGCACGGGGCGTAGCCCTTACAATATACGCCCACCATACACTGGATGGATGTTCGGGATGAGCAGGAGAAGAACCTTGTGGTAACGTCGTCTGTTGTGATCCAGACTTGACTCTTCCCTTGTTTCTTCAAGGCAGGAAATGACGGAATGGAGCAGTTGCGCAAAGTTCTAATGACACGCAGCAACTCAGAGTTTATGGGGGCGTGAAAGAGGTGGAACATAGTGGGACATAGTGGGACACTTTCCATGTCGTCCTTGCTACGCTGCTACCCCTGGGTGGTTGCGGCATGTGTTCGCTGCTACGCTGGCAGTTCCGCTGGAAGTGCCGAGCGAACGAGCTCAGGCACCGCACCCTCTTTCGAAGCATTGCTCGCAAAGCGGATGTACCGCTACATGCCTCATACCGTAAGCCATGCGTTTCTTTCTCTTCGTTCGTTGCTGTGTCTTTGAAGATCTTTGCACGTCGAAGGTAGAGCCACCACGACTGACGAAACAAAACTGCAGCCATGATGCTTCCATGGCCAAGTCAAAGTGTTTGAGTGTCACCGCTGGCACATCCTTAGCTCCACAGAGCTAGCGTCACACCGTTAGCTAAACCGGCTCACCACCGCTTCACCATCTGCGCATCTGAGCCCCCCCACAGCGGGTCCCAGCCCACGGAGGTCCGGCAACTCGCGAAGCACCTGCGTTCGAAGGTCCGCGGGAAGCTTCGATGGCCCACGTTCAGTGTTTGGATGGCGAGCTTTTTGGGAGCTTTTCGGTTCGAAGCTCTCTGAATCTTCAGAACCGCTCGCTTTTGTCTTTATGTGTCGTTTTTTTTCCGGAGCACTGAACGAAGAAGTGAACGTTTGGGTTGGATAGCCTGGTGGATCATGGTGGATGTGTCTTTCTCTGCGGACCGGGAAACATTGACCTTTGAATAGAACGTGTGAGCTCAAGAGCCTTCTACTGGTTGATGAACCGGGAAGAAACCTCTGATCTGGACAGACTGCTTCTTCTAGCGGATCATGTCAAAAGCCAAACATCATGTAGAGAAGCTTTTCACAAAGCTTCAATTGGACCAACAGGCAAAATTGACCATTGATGTGCTAGAGTTTGGGGTGCCAATCCTTTCAGTCTGGGGACATAAATCCTTTCGTCCTGTTCCAAAAGTGAGTTGTGAGACACTTCTCCCAGGACAACCATCAAGACTTCACCGTTCGTCGTGAGTTGTTTTGAAAACAGAAAAACTTTCTTGTTACTAGTGGCGATGGACTAGTCTAATAGCGATGGCCTCCACCTCGTAGCTTCTTGCTACTATTAGGTTGGAGTGGGCTGAACACGAAGAGCATGTCCGTCATTGGAGTCATGCGACTCACGAGTCACTGGGCACCCAACACGGTGACTACACGGCTCCTTTTCTCGCAATATTGCTTGGTTGTTCCAACGCTTCTCAAGACCCTAACCCCCTTCCAGATCTTTGTGGAATCGCAGCTAAGGTTCGGTTCGCAGGCTTGACATGCAGAGTCCCAAGTGGAGGGTCAAAGCTAGAGCACTCAAGGCAAGAGTAGGTGAGCACCCCCAAGTGTCGACGCTTCTGTTCGTATGTTTGTGCTCTGTCAGAAATTTGACAGTGGGCCTTGGAGGTTCTTCTGATGTGCAGGCATTGCCACTTTGCAACCGAACAATCGCCTCTCCTACTACCTTTCTAGAAAGGTTTGCAAACCGATGCATGTTGAGTGACGAAGCAGGGTGGCTTCGTCTTCGTCAGCCCAGACCAAGGCGTAAGGCATTGAGTGTTTTTTTGTGAAAGACTCTCTGAGGCAGGGGCCTTGCAGCTCTCGTGCAGCATGATTGGAACAGTCACCAAATAAATCGTCAGAAGATGAAACTCTTGAGGATGCAACTCCTTTGGGTCTTTCTTCACAGATTTGCTTTTCCCATCTTTTCCCCCTGTTTCATCTGAACGTCCCCGAAGAAAGCTGCGTGTGCAAAGGTCTGGGCTCTAAGCGGATTTCCGGCCCGATCTCTCCAGCTCGTCTGGCTGGTGAGCTCGACGGATTGGCCGACCGACCCGGGAAGGTGCCGATTCCGATGGGAACGACGAGTCGTATGAAGCTTCAAGTAGTATAGACTTGTTTGTGAAGGAGTGTCTAATTCATCTGTTCTTGCGACGACAGGCAACCACTGGAAATGTAGATGTTTTTTTGTGCGGTCCGGGGTCAGGAACTCAGCAAGAAAATAGTGAACATAGGTTGGGGTGTTCGTGCAACATGTGGAAAAAACAAAACAATCAAAAAGTGATTGCGGAGACATAGGAAAGCAAAGCATGGACAGGAAAATAGTGAGAAAATAGCAAGAAAATAGTGAGAAAATAGTAAGCATACTGACTGACATATTGTGAAACGCCTCCCGAAACGACACGTGACGTTTATATATTAGGTTTCGATTCTGGATTGCTTTTTTGATCACATTTTGGTCACCTTTTTTTGCTTTCTTCTTGCTTTTGGTATCCAAATATTTCAATAAAATCACCTTTGGATCGCTTTCTGCTTTTCCGCTCACTGTTTTTTGACTTGTCCCCTATCCTGCACTCTGAGATTGCTTTTCGTTTGCTCCAACTCCTACTCCGAAATGACTAAAAAAGTTATTTTGGCAACCCTCAGCGGTTGGCTGGACTCCATCTCTTAAGTCTAATTCATCTGTTCATCTGTTCTGTCTGCCACGCCTGCATGTCCTCAAAATGATTGAAACTGAAACTCGTTACTCCATCAGCATCATGAAAATCACAGGGGCTCCTGGCATTACTGCTAGGAACAAGAAGCTACTAGTAGTCAGGACGCTGCTACTAGTAGACAGGACTAGTCTTGAGGTCTGCAACTCACACTTTGGTGCCCTTGACCCAACCTCCAAAGCCAAAGAAACACGGCCAAGGCTCTCGGAAAGAAACACTGGGTTTCACTGTGGCGGAGTTCCACTGGATCATGATTGCACTCGCCAGGACCGAGCGATTTGGGGATTGACGTGGTTTGTGAATATAAGAAAGACATCAGGTTGGAGGCCATCGCTTCTAGCTTGGAGGCCATCGCTATTAGGTTAAGTATTCTTTGGATTTTCAGTTTCAGGTCCATTCATGTCCATTCCCAAGACGGATACCTAGTCGAAGGGTCCTTTGCACCTCACTTTCCAGCCATGAGGCCGGAAATGTACCTGACATTTCACGTGGAAAAACTCATGTGCAGTCGGTGTTACGAAGAACTTCAAGCTCTGAGTTGCCTTCAGTAGAATGATGTGACTCTTTTGTTGCGATGTACAAGGAATTTGTAACACATGTGTTGAAGTTGTTCGAACAGAACACCAAGCGGGAAAAAGATATCTTTTTTAGAGAACTTTTCAGCTTGGCTGTCTGCATCTGTCTGCATCTCTGGGCACTCATCACCATGCTCCCCACGCAGTTGGTCCATGAAGTCTTTCCACCAAGCAGCTTTCTCCGCCTGCAGAATGCACGGGCCAAACTGAACCAAGGAATACACAACTAAAGGGAACATTAGAATGACAAATGAATGGAAAAAGACCCTCTACAACAAGGCCCCTACCTTCTTTTTGCTCTTTTTCTTTCCAAGCATTCCAGCTTTGTATCGGGCAGAATGAACACATGGTGCCTGTTAATTTTTTGTGCCCTCGGATGATTGATTCGTCCGCAAAGCACTTCACATCGTGTCTTTGGCGAACCAGGGACTCACAGTGGGGGCGTGTCTTTGGCTTGCAGAAGTGGTCCGATGCTGTGCCATTTCGGCATTGGAACAGAAGTGGTCCGATGCTGTGAATGACTAGATTCACTTTGCCCACTCAGAGTGTGTTGACGTAGAACCATGCGCACCTCCGCGGGTGCACCAGTCAACTTGGTGTCGATGACCACGTACTGCAACTTGCTGGCATCCCACACCTTGACAGCACATGACAGCACAGCCAAAGCAATCACTACCCATTGCGAGGTTTGACCGCCGTCCCACAGCTTTCAAAGAAGGGATCTAAAATGATCTATATGGGTGTGTATTTTTTTACCGTAGTCGGGCCGGGAAGCTTGAGTAGGTGGTATGATTCGAGGGTATGATTCGGGGGGGATGATTCGAGGGTATGTTTCGAGGTATGATTCGAGGGTATGAATCGCTCAAGTCGAACTTCCAACCACTACATCAGGAAGTACAGGCCAAAAAAATACAAAACCATATAGGCTCTAAACATCTCGAAACCTTCGTGCCTCATTGCGTTTGATGTGGCCCGACTGATAAGAGGCAGTGCGTCGCCCAAACTATGCTTACGCTAGTCGATAACCTGCCGGGATGTCATCCATGTTCACAACCTCAGGCTCCCCTAGTTCAGTCAATACCCCCATTGATCAAAACCCGAACAAGTTCATGCAAGTGTACTGAACATCCTTGGGATATTAGTCCACGGGACTTGTGTGATTCACACCAAGATCCATCACGTCATGAGCGAAAGAACAAGATAGAAAAAGAATCAACCCACCCATTTTATGTTTGGGCCGTCTTGCCTAAAAAAAAAAAAACACGTTGCAGCACGACGTGTCTCCAAACGACAAACTCACCCCGGCATGTCTCACCCCGACCATAAACACGCCATGGGGATCCGATCCGGGATAACGCCATGCGTGTCCGGGTGGGATACATCGTCTGGGTCTCGGACTCTGAGTTCCTTGACTGGGTGTGGCAGCTGAATCAGCTTCCCGGTGCGGTCATCCGTCACCTCGACGGCCAGCACAGAAAGGTCGGAGAGCACTGAAAACGAATCCTCCCCAAGCAGATGCATTTTTCGGTGTTTAAAAGGTTTAAAGAGCATTTTCGAGCCAAGATGTTGTGTCCAATTTGCATGGAAGAGGTAGGAAGGAAGTGCAATTGAAGGTGTGGAATTTTCGGATGTCTCGCCTGGTACTGCGATTGGAACGCCTTTGGCGTTGGGAACAGCTGAGGATCCTTGGCAGAAATACAAAGATTCCAGGCATCGGTCCTTGTGCATCATCTTCGTGTGTTCAGTTCTCTGGTCATCAGAAAGTAGAGGTAGATCGATGCAAAACCCTGTTAACGACAGTGCACCAGAATACCTGTCCTTTTCCTTTCCGAATGGACTCTTCAATTGGACGAACCTGCACAAATCATGAATTCTGCCCCGAAAACAAAACGGCACACCGTCCAAACAGGCTGCCATTCCTAGTAGATCCTAGTAGCGTCCTTGCTCCTAGTAGGAGGCCAACCTAATAGCGATGGCCTCCAACCTAATAGCGATGGCCTCCAACCTAAGCCTCCACCCTAGTAGCGTCTTGTTACTAGTAGCAATGCCAGGAGCTACTAGTAGCGTCCTTGTTCAGTCAGAATATGTTTGACAAGATGCGTAGAGCTGGGTGACGCAACCCAGCTGCAGCATACGCCTGAAGACCAATCCGCAGGACTTTTCACTCGTCTCCAGTTTGCTCAACGACAGACCCAACAGAAAGCGCACCTAAAATAATGGAACATGCTGCCCCTCCGAATCTGTCCTATACAGCCGTCTAGCTGGCCCTATGATTCGCGGGTCCTTTTTTCACCTCCGAGCTCATCCCTTTGATCCCGCTTTGACGCCCTAAGCTTGGAGCCCGGCCCGACGACCAGGTGTTTGGCGCCGCGACGGCAGCGACCGAGACGGTGCCTGAACTGTGCCTCGCAGGTGGGCTTCTGTAGCATTTGCTTCCAGGCACTGGGCGAGCGGCCGCCGTGGGCGGTGAAGTTGACCGAGCGTTTCAAACCCGAAAGTCTCCGTCTTCCCGACCAAACGTTCAAAGAGAGTGTGGAGAGAGAGAGAGAGAGACCGACCTAAACGGTCAGTGATCGCCGGCACATCCGCCGTCGCCCTTTTTTGTGCACGGCCTTTTTTTTGAAAGCCAAGGAGCAAGGGCGCTACTAGTAGCTCCTGACATTACTACTACAGTGGTTTCAGAGTAGATGGCACAAATCCCTACATGTCATTTAGATATATTTAGATGGAGGTCCATATAAACCACCCAACTTGGGGTAACTTGTGCCATCGAACCTCTGAACCCACTGTAGTAGCTAAGATGGCTACGAACGGAACAAGCTGAGACGATAGACTCCGATTCCGACCACTCGACGGAGCAGGAAACGGACCGTGGACCTGAAAAGGGAAAAGACGACCAACAAACGCTGAGGAGGCAGCTCGAACTTCATGCCTCTGTACCTCACACGTAGAGTCCACATGTCATTTCTATGATTTGATACAACGGACATCAAATAGAATATGAAATCATGCAAATTGCCGTATGTTCAAAAGGTGTCCAAAAACAACATCCAGGACCCATCCTGACCACCATTTAGGTTGTTAGGATTCGTTGGCTTTGCTTCAGCCCATCCTGACCCACCTTCCTTCGTTCCGTTTCACCCATGCGGCACGTCTCGAGAGCCTCACGACAGACCTGCGCCAAATTCCATTCAGTGGGCGCCTGGCTCGAGGTAGGCTAACAGGCAATTCATCCAGCATGCCCAAGCAGTTCTAAATCCGAAGCAATGTATGTTTAGCAGCATTCTACTGAAGCAAGGGTGCTGAAAGTCAAAGACTGAAAGAGAGCCTGGTAAGGATAGGCCGTTTTCCCTCAACGAAACATCATTTTTCCATAGTGTCAGCAACCCCCCCCGTTTGTCGTGCCTTTGGGGGCCAGCGACTTCTTTCAATGTATCGTTTTGACACAGGTTGACCAACGACTTGATCGCAATCGCAGAACAAGCAACTGTTGCGTCCCAGCAGTTTCGGCCTCTGCAAAACAATACTCAATGCAGTCTGCAGGCGACAGATCCTGACAAACAACCAGACTCATGTTCGATTGAACTGGTGAACAAAAGACTTGTAATGTTGGATTGGTCCGGAACCTACCAATGGCCCTGCAACCCAGGAGCAAGGTATATGGGTGTTCTAATTCACAACCAGGCTTTGATGGGGCTCCTGATAGAGTCTGATAGATGGAATGCTTCGACAGAGCTATACGAAGAATGATTCCCTTACGCCTCGAATGTGATCTGGCAGCTGCCGCTGACTAGCTCGCAGCTATCACCCTGCCACAGAACGAAAAAAACACTGCAGCACCTGTATAGGAATGTGGCATTCTATTCAAGAAAGGCCTTCCCAAACGTGTTCAAATGCGAATGCACCATAGTGCGTCCGCTCAGCTGCCTTCAGGGTTGCTACAAACTCCTTGTGCTCGCCATTGGGAGATCTTGCTACGATCGCCACAGCCTGACAAAGTAGCAGGAGTACATCTCACGTGGAGTTCAGCTGCACTTGCGCTCCAAGCTGCATTAGTGTGCTTGGAGTGTTTTTCTGCCTTCCTGATGTTTGCACTCAAATGTATCCAGGGCATCGGCAGTGCCCTCATTGAGCTGTGGGAAACTGACCGCCATGACCTGAAGTGAAGATGCAAAGATGTTTCCAAAAAGCGCTGTTTCCAACGGACCTCTTGCCTAACTCTGTTCGTAGATCATGTTTATCATTTATCACATTCGCATCTCTTCTTTCTGAAAGTGCTAAAACGTTTCATCTTCCATGAACTGCCAAATGAAATCTCCCTGCCTTCCGCCGGTCTTCTTCGAGGGTCCGGTGAGAGACCAGGGTCATGTCCTGGACACAAACGAATGGCGTCCGCAGGCGCGGAAACCGATCCAACGGACCCCTTGAGCTGGAAAGAAAGGGTCAAAGACTGACCTGTCCGCTCTTCTATCCAAAGCCCATGGTCGGTGCGATTCTGTTTCAGCATGCTTGTTGCATCACCAATACGACAAAGCGACCAAATAGGAGCAAGGACGCTTCTAGGGGCTCCTGGCCTTACCACTAGTAGCAAGGAAGCTACTAGGGCTCTGGGAATCGCTACTAGGAGCAAGGACGCTGCGACAATCTGTGCACATGGATCACATCTCAACAGGAAGGTCTGGCAGCTCCCGCGGGATTTTGCTAAGCTACTAGTAACAAGGGCATTACTACTAGCAATGCACCTTGTTACTATAGTAGCTATTTGCTATTTGCTACTAGTAATGCCCTTGTTACTAGTAGCGATGCCCTTGTTACTCATTGCTTTCCACGCCTCGTCATCCGCGTTTTTCAGCTGCAAACTTCGGATTGCCTGGCGCCAGCATGCCAGCGATGGGCCTCCTGTGGGTCCCTTGTTCTAGACAGGTCGTGGGTGAAAACCAAAAACCACAACGATGTTTTGGGGTCTTGTGGGGTCAAACTTCGACGCTCCTTGAGCATGGTTTTGGGGCAACATTTGAAGGTGGTCCATGTTCTCCCGTCTAAAAGGCTCATGTTTGTTTGGCTTCTTGACCGTTGAGACCCCGATGTTGCAGTTGTTGCACCGGCTTGTATCCATGCAGCATACACACCCAGTCGGCACATCTGTCCCTCGAACGCTCCGTTCAAGCGTTTGCTGAAGAATTTGCATCCAAATTAGCTTGCACGCATTGGACCGACATTCTACATGTCCGATCTGATCTGTGTCTCTTCAGACACGTGCGAAGTACGGCCAGGCGGAGCTGACCTGCTCGCCCCACCACCGGACCTCTGGGGCCATTGCGCTCATGGCTGGCCCGTCGGGGTCACGAGCTTCGCCCTGAGAGAAGTCACGAGCTTCGTTGTGCCGTTGCGATCGGCCGCTACGAACGGAGCGATCGGACGTTACTAGTAGGTCTTTGATCGCTACTAGGAGCAAGGACACTACTAAGGGCTCCTAGCCTTGCTACTAGGAACAAGGACGCTACTAGGGTGTTCACATCCTTACAGCAAATAGGAACTTTGCCCGGCTTCAAGGACTTTGGCCCAACACGTTGCCCCATCCAGCATGTCTGAGCCTCCTCCACCCCGCCAGCACTGCAACACCTCACAAGTGTGGAGCCTTTGAAGTTGTTTGTGTTGTTTCAAGCTCTTGCTTGAGAGGCTCTCTCATGTGTTGCCTTCTCGATTTCGTGGTGAAACGCGTGCTAACCTGTACTCTAACCTAACCAAAAGAAAGAAAGAAAGAAAGAAAGGCGTCTACAGGTCTAAAGGTCTCTCTTAAGGTCTGAAGGTCTCCGAGTCTAGTCTTAGAGTCCCGAAGAACTTCGAGTCCTGGACGTCCCCGTGGCGAAGACCTGGCGCCAGCGGACACGTTCCCGCGTTGCGGCGGTATATACAATATGTGGAACTGTCTGTGTACATGAGTCAACAAAGACTGTCAGTCAGAGTTCCTCCAGACTCGTTCTTTGCACACTCTTTACACATCACAATCTCCTTGAACGATACAGGAAGTTGTGTTTCCTATGCCGCGTGCCACTTGCTCTCTCAAGAAAAAGATCACACCTGGACCTATAGAACTGATGAAATCCCCGGATGCATGAGTGTCCAGTTGTCCTTCCAACAAACTCGGAGGGTTTGCCTGTTTCCATTGGTTTCCATGCTTCTTTACCAGGGACTAAGGCGGACTAAGCATGCGCCAAGGCACTCAACTGGGTGCGGGGAAGATCCCGCGGAGGTGTTCACCTCAGATCTGAACTCCGCCTTCTGAGACACCCGTTGGTGCCTGACACCACAGGGACCACAGTGATGGGACCCTCTGAGACGCTCATGTATCTCTTGCCACTTGTGAAGTAGAAATCCTCTTAGACCTGAAGTGATGTCATTCAGACAGGTATGTTCATTCTATCCCCCGTTTGAGAGCACGGCCTGAGCGCTGCGCCCTCTCAGCGCTGAGAACAACTGGATGTTTGAGCTAAACGGTTGCACGAACGCCTTCGTGAGAGTATAGGAATGCCAACCAAAAGTTGAAGTATAACATGCCAAGCAAATGTGTTCACATGTGGACACACTTTGGCTGTTTAACCAGGTGTGTCAATTGCACGCATTGGTGCAGCCTTTTGCACACATGTCAATGTTGTTTGTAAGAAGGAAAACAAAGCCTGAGCCACATGAGATGGAATGAACATGCTCCCAACAGCTACGTATCACCAGCTGCACCTGCAAAAAGGCCTTGCGGACGAGGCGGTCCTTGGCAACTCAAGAGTTTGAACCACACCGCGGAACGCGGAACGCGGAACTCGCTGCTGCCACGGCAAGGTCGCTTGGCGGAGCCCACGCGTTCGGTGCATGTAAGACAAAAGCATTCTTGTTGGAAGTAGCATGCTGTCTTTCCTGTCAAAAGCAGTTTGGTGTTTGCAAACAGCTAAGCTCTGCAGAAAGTCTTCCAAAAGGTCCCAACTACATCAGCAAGCGAGAAGCCAGATGTCTTCTGGCCTATGGCCTGGAAGAAACCGTGGACACGAGGGCGGCTCTGGCCATGGCCATTTGCCAGAATCTCATCCCCGCGAGCAGTGTTATGGATTCCAAGTACAGTAATTATAGCGGCCCCCAAATAGATAGAAACGTGTCCAATAGATGTTGAAAGGGATCGTACTTTTCTCTCTCTCTCTCTCTCTTTGGGGGTGTATATTATGCCTATCTGGTCAGTGATCACGCCACGGCCGCCTGCAGATCCCCTTCTGATAGTTCTGCCTTGTGTCCGTCCACGGCGGCCTGAGAACGAGAACATCCCATCGGGCCCTTCCGGATGAGAACATTGTTGGGGAAGACATTCCCAGCGGATCCAATCTATTTGTGACAACGCGAGGCCTTCTTGAAGACCAAGTGCTGGATCAACGCAATGCGCGCCTCCGAGCGCAGCGCAGCGCAGCGCAGCGCAGCGCACCGATTCGACTGCCAAAGACTGACATGAGCTACCGCCAATCTTGGGCCTTCTTCTTGGAAGTGTGACCCAAAACGCATGCCATTGTCACGTGACGAACGGTGAGACTCTTGTCTGTGCGAGTCTCATTTCTGTAAGGCTTCTGTCCGACAGCCTCCAGGGATGGTGTTCCCACCTTGCCACGAGCCAACAGCTCGGAGATCAACGAGAAAGGCATGTCTTTTCTTCATCTGTCTTCGCTACTTGTTCCAACAACAGTTTGGAGGAGTGGGTGAGTGGGTTAAAATTCGGTAACCCTGTCTCCCCATGGTGAGAGAGATCTACATTAGGGTGGAGGCCATCGCTACTAGTTCTTTGTACTGCCAAAATATTCCCTCGCCTCGACAGCCTCGCCGAAGCGCCTCAAGGCCGCTTCATCAATGGCCTCGCCGATGTTCATCGGAACGACGACCGATGACCGTCCGGCGCCGTTCTTCGGTCCGTCCGTACTCGCTGGGCAGTTGTCCAAGTGGAGAGGGGAGAAGATGGTCAAAACTGCCTTCTCCTTGCTACCCGAGTGGAGTCGCCAGACTCACTGGAGTCACCGGACCAATCACACCACTCCAATCCACTCCTGTATGTCCAAGAGACATACCTAAGCCGGTCATACCTAAGCCAGCAAAGCCTATGGCGTACTATGGCGCTCATTGGCTTTTGCTTCGTCCTCCTCTCGGCCGCCGGCAGAACACCGGAAGAACGGAGGAAACGAAACGACTGCGGTGGCTCCTTATGGAACCGGAATATCCACTTCCATCCACTTCCCCGTATGACGCAAGGGAGAGAAGGTAGA